TTGAGCCCAGGAGTTGGAGGTTGCTATGAGCTGTGATGTCATGGCACTCTACCCAGGGGGATAGCTTGAGGCTCCATCTCAAAAAAAAATCAAAAAAAAAAAAAAAGAAGGAAAGCTTTCTCCTTTGCATTGGGGGGTATTAGCACGTCAGGTGTGTCAAACTGAAGAAAACTAGTAGTAACAAGGGGAAACTGTTAAACTTTTAAATGTTTTTCAGAAAATTCTGATTAACCTGTTATAGGTTGCCAAACCACACTAGCAAAATAGTACTATAGACCAGTTGAGTTTTCCATAGTAGGTGGAATAATAAAGAACTGATTCTAACAAAGAAATTGCTAGAATATTAGTTCTGGAAAGGACTTTAGAGGTCATGCTCTCTGACCTCTTTATTTTAAAACTAAGATAATTCCTGACCAAAGAATTAATTATACGATGTCATAGAGTTAGCCAGTAATAGTGCCCAGACCCAAACTGGGATGTCGGACTCCCCATCTCTATGTGCTTACACTTTTGTCATGATGAAGATGTAAATCACTCATTATTTTAAATTTTCTTCTGCAAATTGATAGGATGGTCCTAATGTTAGTATTTATTGTTAAAAAATTAAAATAAAAAATGAAAGAAGAAAAAATTCATTATCGGGACTTCTCCTTTTGGAAATCATTAATTTACACGTGAAACGTGTTTTTCCAAGCTGATTCTCTTATTTAGCTTTGGGCCATTTCTTATTTATTTCAAATGACTGGTACATAATAGATACTGAAGTTTCTCAGTATCCATCAATATCTCCACAGCAGGACTTATGTAGAACTTTTTGGTATAAAGCTTACTCCTTGATGATGTACTTAATACGTACTAGTAACATTCATTAAAACCCACAGCTCTTGGGTCTAACTTCTTGAGAACTGGGCCTTGCCCTGGGATGGGAGGTTGGCTACCTATGTGTTTCCTTTGATGTTACGGACTGAACTGTGCTCCCCTCTCAAATCAGTAAGTTGAAACGCTAACCCTTAATACCTTAGAGTGTGACTGCATTTGGAGATAGGGCCTTTAGAGAGGTGTTTCAATTAAATAGCGGCCATCAGGGTGAGCCCTAATCCAATCTGACTGGTGTCCTAATAGTGGAGATGAGGACATACAGAGAAACACCAGGGCTGTGTGCTCACAGAGGTAGGACCATCTGAAGAGTCACCAAGAAGCCTCAGAGGAAACCAACGAACCCCCGCCCACCCCGCACCTTAATCATAGACTCCCAGCCTCCAAAACTGTGGGGAAATCATTTCTGTTATTTAAGTCACCCAGTCTGTGGTATTTTTTATTTTAATTTTTTTTTTTGAGACAGAGCCTCAAGCTGTCACCCTGG